TTTTGGCCCCCCCCCCCCCCAGAGGGTCCATTGTGAGACAAGAGACTAGGACTGTTGCCAGGATTGTTGCATGCTGTTGGATCATTTTCAGGTTAAAACGGCTCATTTTTAAAAAGATTTTTAAAGAGAAGGGGGGGAAAAAAATCAATATGTACTTAGCAGCTTGTCAGGATTCTAAGCAACAGCTAAAACTGCCAAACAAGAAAAATAAAAACCATGGCTGGCTTTGAATTTTCATCAGCCTTTTCAAGTCTACTGGATAATTCCTACAATATGGACTGGAACATGATGAGAGTCGCTTCAGCCACCGCGCACACAGACATGTGCGCACACACCAAGATGCTAGTGTTTTAAAAGATATTGCCCTATGAATTATTCACTAGAGGACTATTAAACGTAAAGCTTTAATAAGAATAACCCAAGACTATTTTTTCCTCCTAACAGAACTGACGAATAGGTAAAATGAAAAACAAAAGTAATGAAAATTGCATATCTTAAAAACCAAACAACCACAGACAAGTGGTTTAAGGTCAAGACCGACAGAGCTAGAAACTGCAAGAAGTTTCACTGAAGCCCGATGGGAGTTTCTGCCCTATTTCAGAATTGGGCCCGTTGCCTGTTACTTTGAGGAAAGCCAAGCACGGTCTATTATTGGCTAGCGAGACTACTTTGTAGACATTAGACGCGAGGGCTGGAAGGGACCTCCTAAGATCATCAGGTCCAGCCCCATATTCTGAGTGTCAATCAAATTAAAAATAAACCTTTTAAATAAGCTGCAGAACCAGCTGTCCCACACCAAATCATAGGTTTCCGTGGTCAAATCAAGCAAAAAGATGCTCTCCTGACTAACACAACCCCTAAAAGCTGAGGAGTATGAAGCTAAATCACCCATGACAATGTAACGGTTCCTTCCCTTGAAATCTTACTGTCGACATCCAGTTTGAAAGTTGCACTTTCCAAACCAAGATAAAACCTGGCATTTGACTCAGGGAACGGACTTAATTGAGCGACTTGCAAAATGTTATGGCTGGGACTTAGCATCATGGGCCCGATCCTGCTCTCATTAAAAATCAATGGCAGAACTCCCAGTGTTTTCCATAGGGGCTGGATCTGATTGTGGAGAGAGCTCCTGCTCCTGCTCCTGCTTAGAGCGTGGCTCTGTGTTTAGACGCATCATTCCCGGCTTCCTTGTCTGAGCACAGGAGTGTATAGGTCTCCCCCATTTTGCCACACGCACAAATTATAACAACATTTCCTACCAGAAGATCCAGCACTGAAATGAGTAGTAGCTGAGCTGTGGGATCCCTTCCCTCCAATTACTCCCTGACTGCAGAGACCACGCCAGGATCATGTGTTGTAAGTTTTCATGAATTCCCTGATACTGTGTATGTAAATTAGGCTAATCCTGTACTTTAATCACATAGCATCATCTCAGGTGGTTCATTATCTTTTTCTTTTTTTAGCGGTAGGTAACAGCCTAGTGGAAGACTACAAACGGCCTTTACCAGGGGAGTTAAAAAAGAAAAAAGAGAAGACCCCCCCCAAATTCACCTTTCCCCACACTGGAGCGCCAAGTTTTTTTTGGCAGACATTTAAAGGGCCTGATAAAAAAAAAGGGGGGGGGGGTGCCATTGCCTTTCACGTAAAAGCCTGGTGGGAACACAAAAAAATGTTTGCAGAAGTTCCTGCCCAGGTCCCTTAGTTGAATTCACAAGTCACATAACACTGCACCTTCCTGGGGAAAAAGTCAGGCTGGAAAAAGCACCGGCCTCGTGCTGGAAGAGGAAGCATTGCCTCTGAAAAAGGCACTGAGTCATTTGGATGAAGACGACTTCGGGCACCCGTGTCAGGAGAGGAGGGGGCACCTTCCTCCCGCTAAATATTAGCATTTCCTTAAGAGCCGAGGTTGCAATATGCAGATCTCCAGGGGTGGCGGTGGAAAAAACCCAACAACAGGTGCCCTGTGAAAGGCGATTTAAAAGAAAACAATAAAAAAAATAAGTCGCTCCCCCCCCCCCTTCTTCTGTGAAAGCCAAGACTTTCAAGCCATCACGTCCCGTCCACCCCTC